GGAATTTTTACTCTGCCAGAAGGATGGAAAAAGGTCATCGACAAGAACGGCCAATATCTAATTGAATAAAGTAATATTTTTAAACAAAAATTCCGAATTTGCTTTCTTATTTGAAATCGGCAATGACTTAGTTGGCAACCTAATATATATATATATAGAGAAAACTATTCAAAAGTAGGCCTAAGTCTGCAGAACTTGCTGTTGAAAAAACAGTTGAAATGATGACTGCGGAACACAGGTTCTCACTTTTTTGCACAAACGATCCATTTATTTATTTTCCCTTTATTTTTATCTATTTATGTTCACTGACGCAGTGCAAAGTGCATTTGTGCCTTTTCAGTATGTTAGTCAGTCCAATAGAGCATGGAATTTGAATTTAACTGACTCCTAGGTCTGCTAGATATTTTTTTATCATGATTGGTACTTGGTGAGGCATTAATTAAACTTTAGCTTAGTATGTCTCTTCTTTTACTTGTGTTATGCGTACGTCATTTCTTTAATAATTTTTGGTCCAAGGGGTTCTATTTATTATGTGAGTTTTACTAGCTTTCTTTTTCATAATGTTTTAGTGTCTTAAAAGTGCACCGATAAGCCAATTAAATGGAATTGCGTTAGCTCGGACCTATTTTCATTTTTCCTTGTGTCATAACAAGTGAGCCCTCCCCACCCCACCCCACCCCCTCCCTCCCCCATTTTCCAATTGCATTCTATTTCTCTACAGTTGCAGTTACAGTTAATTTTCTAAAAAACTAGCTTCCAACGGATAAGCTTGCTTTCCAATATTGTTAGCAAACCATATTGAATTTGCTTATTTTGTTGAAGTGTTGGGAATGCACTTCTCCCTTTTATTTCATTCTGCCGCGATGTTGATTGATGATAACTTTTATTTTTCGTACCGTAGTAATGAAATCTTGACCAAGCATCTAGTTCATTTAAGACATTTTTGCTTTTGTGAAACATGAATAACGAATTTTTGCAAGTGTTTCTTCTCATTTTGGCATGCAGGAAAGATATTGCTAATCGGAGGTGGTATAGCCAATTTCACCAACGTAGCTGCGACTTTCCGCGGTATCATCCGCGCCATTACTGACTATCAGGACGCACTTCGGGCTCACGCGGTAAAGATCTACGTCCGTCGGGGTGGTCCAAATTACCAAGAAGGCCTGCATGCCATGCAAGAACTTGGCCAAAGTCTGCATCTTCCAATCTTCGTCTTTGGTCCTGAGACACACATGACAGCTGTCGTTGCCATGGCACTAGGTATCACGGAAACTCACGCTAATCCGGCTACTATAACAGCTCCTTCTCTATTCGATCGGTTGCCTCATGTCTCGACTGGCAATTTCGCCGACTTGGCTTGTTCTGTTAGTTTTTAATTATAACTAGATTACTATACGTACTTAAATATTTATATTATAATTTTCTATAGCGAAGTGGACCAAAAAAATCCAGGATGAGTTCTGTGGTAAATGTGCTTATAACCCATAACGCATGCATTTTTAGCATCTGCACGGTTACTCAAATTAATTAATAAAATTCCAAATTTATTTTCAGAAGGATGATGGCATTTACTCCGGGCTCTTCAACAAGCAGACTCGAGCCATTGTTTGGGGTGTCCAATTGAAGGCAATTCAGTCGATGCTGGATTTTGATTATGCATGCTGTAGAACTGTCCCCAGTGTTGCAGCTATAGTTTATCCCTTTGCGTAAGTCCTTTTTGGCAAACAGTTGACCTCTCACTTTCTATCTTATAATTTCTTTTTGCTTCAGTGGCGACTGTACACAGAAGTTCTATTGGGGCTCTAAGGATAATCTCTTCATTCCACAATACCAAAGCTTAGCCAATGCGTTGAATGAGCATATTGATGCGAGGTTCCTAATCAATTTTGCCTCTTTCCGGGCTGCTTACGACATTACCATGGAGGCCATGTCCATAAGAGATGAAACTGAAAAGAGACCACGTCTTGATGGGATTGCAATAATTGCGGAGGGTATTCCGGAACGATTTGCTCGAAGGATTATGTTTGCAGCAAAGCAAATGAATGTTGTTGTCATTGGTCCAGCCACAGTAAGTTCCGTTAATGTAGATGCTAATTGAATTCACTGCAATTATGAGGCTAATTATTGGGTTGTTTGATTTCCATAGGTGGGAGCGATTAAACCTGGTTGTTTCAAGGTTGGTAATACTGCTGGAATGATTGACAACATTATCGCTTCGAAGCTACATCGTCCTGGAAGGTTAGTTACTACCTAATTGCATGGAATTTAAGTATGCAGTCTTTGAATATTTATTCTTTTCAGCGTCGCTTATGTATCCCGCTCAGGAGGAATGTCCAATGAACTCAACAACATAATTAGTAGAAATACAGATGGGGTTGCTGAGGGAGTTGCTATTGGTGGTGACCAATTCCCCGGAAGCACATTTCTTGACCACATTTTGCGATACGAGGCTGATCCAGGAGTTTCTATGATGGTTTTATTAGGAGAGGTGAATTACTCTAAATCTCTACAATTTCATAAAATCCTATTTCTTGTATTAAGTAAGTATCGTCAAATAGCAGTCTTTATTATAGTTGCCATTAGCCCTTTAGTTGACTTTGGCTTTCACAATTGGGAGGAATATCAAAGACATAAAATGTCGTGGGGGGGGGGGGACAGAAGAGTGCTTCACAGATGTAAAAGAGACAGACAGGCACAAAAGTAGAGAAAAGGGTAAGGTGAGTACTGTGGAAGTGGTCGGATATGACATACAGCCGGGTCATGATAATTTGAAGTCAACTGCCGGTTTATGGACTTTTTTGCGTATGAGTATACGTTGCCCAGGGTGCACCACCTGGAGATAAGTCTATTGTACAGCCCTCTTAGATAAATATGAATTTACCTTTACAGGTTGGTGGCCTTGAGGAGTACTCAGTTGCAGAGGCCATTGAAAATGGAAGAATAAGGAAACCTCTCGTAGCCTGGTGTATTGGAACCTGTGCAGAGATGTTAGCTGGCAAAGGAGACGCGAATAGCCTTGGGGAGGTCCAGTTCGGTCATGCTGGAGCTTGTGCTCGTTCACAAGCTGAAACCGCAGTCGCAAAGAATGTGCGACTGTCCAAAGCCGGAGCTTTTGTCCCCAATAGTTTCAACGATCTTGGCTGTTTAATTAGGTACGTTGCTTGCTTCTTTTTCCATCCTAACTAAATTTTTATTTGGCGTTTTTACTGGCATTTCTGATTAAACACTGCCGTAATTATGTTTTTAATTATGAAGGAAAGTCTACGAGGATTTGGTGAAGTCAGGCATCCTTACCCCTAAGCCCGATTTTCCGCCTCAAACAGTTCCAATGGATTACTCTTGGGCTAAGGTATTTTCATGCTTCTCATTTAAACTTGAAAAAAAAGACATTAAAAGTTTTAAATTCTTTGTCTATTTAAGTATTTTGTTTTAGTAGTTTGCTTTTACTATGATTGGTGAATACATTGCAGCTTTTCAATTATTAGAAGTTGGCCCTGTGCAATATTTCCATGGAATGTAACTTCTTCGTCTGGCAAGCAACTTGACCAACCAAACCTCGAGCATTTATGGAAAACGACTGCCTTTGCTATGACAGGCAATATTAATGAGCTTCTTGTCAAAAATTTGTTTAACTTGAGAAAGTACTATAAATTTGGTCAGCTATTTTAGTCAGCTTTAACTGGTTCTATCCAAAACTTTTTATTTGTTATTCGCATCTAGTTAAACTGTAAGTTAGCAGTTTTAGTCCTTCGTCCGAATTCTCTCTGTGAGATGTTCATAACTCAATTCCTAGCTTTCGTACAGTGACTCATTTGTTTGACAAATGGTCTACCTGGCATTGACTCTGCTTCGGATACTAAAAGTGGTGTTACCGCTGCGTTTAGTGCTGCACCAAATCCTTCTTTTCACTCCACACACCCTTTAACAAGCCATTGATACCCTTGGTATTTGTTATCGTTATAAATAGGAAAAGCATAAGCACACAGACCGACACATATTTTTCAAATTTGTTTTGTTGTTGGTTGGGGGGGGGGTGGGGCGGTGGAGGTGGAGGTGGAGAGATGATTGGCCACTCAACCAATTCATTAACTTTCAAATTTAAACAGTTTCTGTGAATTCAATATAAATATTCTGATTTTACGATGATTCAACAATATCTGGATCCAAATTATTTAAGCTCAAAATGTGGTGGATTTCCACCTGTCTGAAATTCCATGCATGGATTACGGTCGTGCAAATTTTAAGATCATTCATTGCTTCTTTGTTGTTTTAGGAGCTTGGACTCATTCGGAAACCCGCAGCTTTCACTTCAACAATCAGCGATGATCGTGGTTCAGAACTCCTTTACGCTGGCATGCCAGTCAGCCGAGTTCTCTCTGATAATCTTGGTATTGGTGGTGTCATCTCTCTCCTCTGGTTCAAAAAAAGGTAATCAGCCCTTCCTGCCTACTTCTGACGCATTCTAGTAACTGGCGTTATCGACTCTTTCTATTCCTTCATTTGACTTGTAGACTGCCTGACTATGCAATAGCCTACATTGAGCGGTGTCTGATCATAACTGCGGATCACGGACCTGCTGTCAGTGGTGCTCATAACACTATTGTCGCTGCTCGAGCCGATAAGGACTTGGTTTCATCTTTGGTCTCTGGTCTACTTACAATTGTAAGTAGCTTTCTGTCTCATCAATTTTATTTGGACTCTTTCGTGATCAAGATATTTTTGTAGTGTGCCCTTTATTGGCCTAAGGCGAGTTCATTCACATATACATTTCCTACCCATTGTAGAAGTGTCTCCTGTCGAATCATTGCGCCTGAAAGACGCTATCAATATTATTTTACTAGGATCTAGTGGATTTCTAAAGGAATTCAATCATTTATTTTATAGAATTCCACTAAAATTTTCGTAGAATAATTCTACCTTCACATGCATCTTTCTGTGCTAGGTAATTATTTTTCCATTTTTGAAGGTCTTACTCTTCAGTCATCCCCTTTTGTGGGGCATGACTCCTTTTTGCTGTAATACTACTTTTGTTCTGGTTCTGCTTCTCTGATACATTCGCACGTTAGGTGGAAGTAGATTTGAGTTGTCTCAAGAAGGAGAGAATGAGGAGTTAGGCAGAATAGAGTTGACCCAAGACAATGTTTACTTAAACATAGACATCAAATTGGTGAAATACGAGCTGCCAAGCTGTCAGGATCGTTGTACGCTCTCGTCTTGTAAGAATGTTGGCCGACTTGAAGACAACTTGAGATATTTGTTTATCCCCAGACCACAAATTAGCTCTATACCTGTAAGACTTGCTTTCCCCGTTTCCTACCAAGAGCCAATTCATCAAGCTGAGCAATTGAGAATGCCTCAATTTTAATATTGATTTCTGCGCTTCTGCATGATTCAGTGCTCCACACAAGTGGCGCTCATTACAACTGCTTCAGCTTTTCAGTAAAGGGAATTTTCTAGGACTAGCTCTCTGGACCACATTTTGAGCAAATTACAAATTCTCATCATTTTGATTAAGTTCTTACGAGTTGGAACACTGCAAGTTGTGAATTATTCCCGTTAAATAGCCTATCAATCTTGGCCACAAACACGGCTCCTCTATCCTACCTGAATGAAATGCATTCAATCATTTCCCCCTTTCTAAGCTTCAGTGATTTTCGTTACGGCATTTGTGAGGCTGAAAGTAGGGTCTTAGCTATCACTTGCATCAGCATGCTCAGTATTTTGATATAATATCTCTAAGCGAATAACTGAATGTAGTTGCAAACTGATTGTATCAATTTTTGTTTTTCTTCTATTTGTTAAGGGTAACCGTTTTGGCGGAGCCATCGATGCAGCTGCTCGACAATTCTCCGAGGCCTTCGATGCGGGTCAATCTCCCAGTGAGTTCGTCGCGTCATCTCGAGCTGCAGGGCGCCTGATTATGGGCATCGGTCACCGGATCAAGTCCGTGAATAATCCGGACACTCGGGTCACTCTGTTGGCCAAATTCGCGAGGGCCAACTTTCCCGCCACGCCTCTCATCGATTACGCTTTTCAAGTAGAGAAACTAACTACAGCTAAGGTAGGCGCAGTTACTCCATCCACTACTACTACATTGATCCATAATTTGGCCAAAGAGCATTGAAGGAATCTTTGCACTCTTTCTAAACTCTAGTAAAAACATGCTTCAAAGATTTATTTATTTATATCAAACGGAAGGCGTTTTGATAGTTATCATTAGCCCTTTACCTGACTTCAGGCTCCACAGAGGGGAAGGAACATCAGAGTGAAAAAAGTCGAGATTGGGGGGTGGAATAGAAGAGTGTTTCAAAGATGATGTAAAAGAGACAGTCATGAAGGTAGAAAATGGTGACTTGAGTACTGTGGAAGTAGTCGACAATGACATACAGTGGGGTGATGGTAGTTTGAAGTGATAAGTCAACTGCCAGTTAATGGACTTTTTTGCCTAATAAGCATGCTTTGCCCAGGGTGCGCCACGTGGAGGTAAGTCTGTCGCACACCCCCATGCTTCAAAGATAGATCATAACTCTTCAGAGGCTTCGCAGTATGTACGGTTTAGTGAATTATCGTCTCTAGTATTACATATTTCTACCCATTTGGGATCTGAAAATTTGCTTTCCTGTGCACCATACTCTTTGCGCTCCTATGTGAAAATAAACGCATTTCTTCCATCAAGATTAACTAATGATTTAGACGTCAGCATGTGCATGATTACAACAGTGCTTCCTATTTTCTCACCGAACTACTATCTTCTGCTATTAATATCTATTATTCTCTCGATCGTGAATTTTTTCCTTTAGACCTAGCTAGCTGGAACAAATATTGCACAGTAACAATAACTTCATTGTTAATGAAATTTAATTTTCTTAAATAAAAATTGACAATTTTCACTTAATTATTGGCGTTTGTATTTATCACCTGTAAAGCCTATGTGCTTCGTTACACCTTCCTTTCAAAACATTTAATCGTCGTTGTTTTGCCATCTGGGCTTTTTTTGATGGTTCTCATTTTCCCCCAATCAGACTGCTAATGACGTCAAGACTTGTATCTAAATCTGTTCTCTTTCTTTAATAAGCCTCTCTTGAATGAGCTCACGACGCATTTCTTACCCATTTAGCTTTCCACTTGTTGAGATGTGTTTTTACTGCATCGCATCAGTACTTTTGTTTTTTTTGTTTTCAAAGCGCAGCTAAAGCTATTTTTTACGCGCCCGGTTTTGGTTGAACTAGGAGCTATGCCTCAATGAATAAAGTCCACTTTGGAGTTATAAATATTCTCGATGTACTCGAGGGAAACCCCCAATATCTATCTCTAGTTTACCTAGAGCTGCTTGTAAGAAGCTGTCATTCCAATTTTGCCTCATCAGACAGCCATCATTTATAACCTCCCCAAGCATTCCCCCCCCCCTCCAGTCTCTAGTTAGTCGTACCTTTAAAGAGGAGCGCCTTTATAAATATTTCTGGTTTCAATCGATGGAAAGATTGCGCCGAAGCGCCTTGCAACCATATTAAAGTTTCGCCCATTTCAAGATACTGCAAGGCCAATGCTCATATAGTTTGAAATTCAAACATGACTTCATATCTTCCCTATCCTTAGCATGGCTCTTATTAAATTCATTAATAACTAGTTTGGGGCATACCTTTCACACACACACATCTATTTATTACAGTTCTTGACTTCAAACTTACTTGGAATCTTTTGACCGCGTTTTCTTGAATAAATGTGTTCTAATGCAACAGAATTGAGTATGCCCAAAGCTTATTTATATTTGAAATATAATTAACTGACGTTTTGAATGATTGAACAGATATAGACTCTACCATTTAGAGACCGACTCTAATTCTGAATGTTGACGGTCTTATCGGTGTGTCGATGGTGGATCTGCTTAGAAATTGTGGTTGCTTTACGCACGAAGAAGCTGATGAACACATCCGTATTGGTGCCCTAAATGGTCTTTTTGTTCTTGCTCGCAGTATCGGCTTCATTGGTTAGTTTGCCGAGCATAACTTAACTTTGCCATTGGCAGTGTGCGATTTCTGCATTGCTATTAATTTTTTCAATAGGCCATTATTTAGATCAGAAACGCCTCCGCCAAGGCCTCTACCGTCATCCCTGGGACGATATCACCTATCAACTTCCAAATTTGGATGACATTGACTTTCCATCCACTTCTGGCACTAATGAAGGCACCACGTAACCGCTGGCGTAAACACCCAAGCGACCATAATTGGCATTTCTCAACCCCTTTATTATTCAGCTTCCTGTCCCGTTCGCTCATCCATCCTATTTTTTATCTCAACAAGATCTTCCATTTACACCATCTTAGTGTTTGTGACAGTTTTTGTTGTCAATTGTGTCTAAATGTTGTGGAAAAAATAATGTTCAGTGACATTCCCTCTATATCGGAAGGTTAGTGAATTTTGAACTCGTGATGAGTTACTATCAATAAAGTCTCTAGTTAGATAAGAAAACGTTTTCTACTTCGATCCCAAATGCCTTAAAATAGCATGTGTGGTGTTTAAGAGTAGATTTAGTGTCATGGCGAATACATCCATTATCATCCACTCTACTTAGTCCCGGTTATGCTTGACGCCTTTTCGATGCAGGAACCGGGGGGGGGGGGACCGTATCACAAAGGAGGGCGCATCACGGGCAGAGGAGTAATCTCAGAGTGAACTTATCCGACCTCTTTATCAGTCAGACTTAGCGCACAAGGATGGAAATCGAGATTGTGAACTTTTTCTTCATAGACGGGGACGTCGATCTCTGCTGTACTTCCAATACGAAAGTTAAAAATCTGAAGTGTCATATCCGTTATGGTGAACATCGGATCCGAATAAAATGCTTCATAGTTAATCGACCTGATTAAAATCGAAGTTGCTTTGACTGGTCGGAGGAAATGAATTGGAAGAAGGGAATGATAAAGATTTCTCAGCCTAATAAACAAGAGTAACTGGATAGCTTGTACCAGGATAATCCGAAGTAAAGCAAGTATCCTCCTTAACGGATTCATGCTGTCGATGCAGGTTTAAAATTGGAATGGCAAATTTACGAAAAGTGCAGATCTTCCATTAAGACTAGCATTGAATGTATTTAGCTGTGCAACTCGCTTAGAACGCACGGTCTAAGCAAGAAGTATGAAATGTTGAATTCTAAGGAAAAGATGAGGGAACAAGGACCAAAAGTAATGCTAGGTAATTTGCTGAACTTCTGGTTTTTTCCTGCAAGTAGAAGGTTTGGTAGAAAGTCTCCTATAGAAATGTTAACGGGGCCTGGAGCAACATGCATCTGAGTGAATCATCTGAATTGGCCCAGAAGAGAGAATACCAGGCCAGGGAGAAAGCCGAAGGCAGAGGTGGTACTTTAGCATGAGGAAATAGTTGATTAAGCGCTTCTCTCCTTGAGAAAATAGCGTGCCTACCGTTTATTCATTCTGTGTCTTGCTCACCTTTGTATAATTAGTCCACTTGATCAGAAATTCCCTTGCATTTGCAGATCCCCTTTAAAGGGTAACCGAAGGCAACTCACCGTCCGTTCTCTGGTAGTGGAAGGGCTCATATTTCAAGACTTAACTATTTCTACTCGTTAGATTTAAGTAATTGGGATAACATTTCAATAGGCAGACACCTGAAGAATGAGTGAGGCATTGTTGTTAATTAAGTAAAACGAATCATCAATGCTTTAGAATATTTCCACTTTTCATGAGGTATTAACGAATGCCGAAATTTCAGAATGCAATCTGTAGTAATTTACGTTTTTTTTTCCGCAACTGAGCATTTGTTTAAAAAAATCTATATCGCATTGATTGAAAACCTGCATAAATATGGGAAGTAGGAACGCTCTATATTTTGCATTATCTCTTGCGAAATGATCAAATCAGCTGCTAATTTTTTCAGTTAATGGTTAAAGTCCTCAACAAGAGTGACTTAAAGTAAATTGAAGTAGTCGAGATGTATTAAAAATTGTTGCTAGTTTTTAGGTCAATTGTGTTGATCACTTTATTGCTCCGTCAGTCAGATAACTTGTTGGGCGATTAAGCAGTAAGTAGGCTTTGGAATCCACTCAATTAACCCATGCTAGTTCTAATTATGCTCAGAAAAAATAACTAGATCGAATGGCATAATTGCTTGAGTTTGGAGATTTGAATTAACGACTGTGATTTTCAATGATATGGAACTTCCTTACCCCAACAAAATTACACTAAATCGTGCAGAAATGGACAGTGGCCCGTTGGAGCACCGAAATAATCAATATGAAGCATGAAAATATGCTTACGTTTCGATAAAATAATAAGTACTATATTTGGATTGCTGTGGATCAACTCCAAACTCCCCTTGAGATATAATTGGCTTGAATTAACTCACTTATGTGGTCCTAGTCAATAGTGGCCTAATAATAAAGGATATAAATTATTGTTTTCTTTTTACAAAATAGCATCATTAATTTTTATAAGTACAAACAAACTCCATGTGTAACACCAGAATGTCCCTATTTTATTTGTCAATATTAAATTTGTAGGGTTAGGTAAGCAGGTGTTCTACATTCATTACGTATTTATGCCGATTGAATAGTTATGTATCCAGGGCTCCTATTTGCCATTAAATTTGTCTCCATACGCTATCAACTTAAAAATTTTTGCTATTCACGGTCTTTAAAACAACGTCAACAGCCTATATACAAATTCCAAAAGTCATGTAATAATCAAAGTTTCCAACCATCCTTCTGGATCATTATATAGTAAAGTCTTGTTATTTATTGATTTTTTCCATTTGAAGCCAATGGAATTATTGTCGCAGTGACTTCGTCCTTGAGATGGACGCGATGACTCATTGTTGCGGTGAATTAAATTTGAACTTCACATTTTCCCCTTAAATCATTAGATTAAGTGTATCCGAATCAAGCAAGCGAAGATGAATAAGTCGATGCTTATTTTAAACGCCAGCACAAAATTTAAAAATGTAAAAGTCGATTTATAGCTATTCAAATGATTTTATTCCAGAATGCTTTAATTTGAAGTCTGCAAGAATATCATTGTGCCCCAATCATTTATGCTCGCAGACTTTCCTAAATAGAAACGAATGGAGCCGAATTAGAACAACGCCGAATTCTAACTTTGACAGTACTCTGAAAGAAGTTGGGTATTTAACCTATCAAGCCTAAGCAACATTAAATAATGTTTTTTTTAATTCCACAAATCCTCATTCCTCTTACGTTTAAACTTTTGAAGGCAAGTAAATAGGTATCTATTGGTGAAGTGGGCAATGACTTAAAAATCTTTTGAATAGAGTGGCCCGTAATGAAAAGGGATTACCCATTCTTAGCATTACATTTGAACAAAGCAAAACTTAGACATAAATTGCATTGGATTCACGCATCAATCCCCTCGTTGGTTGCATAAGAGAAAGTGGGTGCCATTTAAAATGCATTAAAAGTACGTAATGGAGGTTTCTCATGGGAATTACTGCGGTTGAGATTGACAAATTGGAATAGGTTATCATGATTAGAGAATTATATTTGAAACAATCGGGATATTTCTATAAATAATTTAAGTTTTGCTTAATTCCTTTCATTTTAACTGTGCAGTCTACAGTGAATAATCGGATTGCCGGCGATTTGGCTCCTCATTGAAAAGGGAGGGGGCTGCGGTGGGCACGATGCTGTCATGTCTGCATGAAGAAATCGCATGCGCACTCAGACAAACTCGAAGGCGCGGTAGTGCTGCATACTGAGAAATGAGCACGCATGACGTGAGCTCAGAGACCTCCAATCGAGCCAGGGGGAGAATTAGTTCAGGGGGGAATTGAGAAGAAAATGAAAGGCTTCAGGAATATGGAAACACAATCGCATTTGTCAGGAATATTCGAATTGGCGGTTGACCGATTTCGTGTTCATTGGGCTTGCGGTTTAAATTTAAGTGTACGAGTCAGTTGGCGCGCAAATGCATATAGGCACTGAGGAGAAGGCCTGGGGTAGCCTGTATTAATACTTATTGTATATTGAATTGTCAGGCAAATTAACGCAAACGAAATAACCTGATTAAGTAAATTTTGTATAGATTTTGAAAAATAAATTCTTTTTAATTGGAACTGTGCTAAGAATAAAAGTACTTACATTCGAGTATTATATTTTGCATACCGAAATTGCACTACGGTCGGAAAAGTTGTTTCTCGATTGGTTGAAGACTAGTTTCTCCCTCAGTGGTAACTCCTGCTCTTCAACCTATTTTAAAGTAAAGTGAGAATAGATTATTAAAGGGCGAAAGTTAGATTACACAAGACAGAGAGAAATATTGGAGTTATAGTGTGGCTCTAGCTTCCAAACCACGTGACTCTTATGAGAGCGCTATTTAAAACTAAACCAAATTATTTTCTGCCAAAATTGAATATCCTTTAGGTACCTTCAGCGTGAATGTTCAATCTTCCTTAAAATAGACCAAAGTGGAATTTCCAACGTTTCAGGTGCTTCAGAAAGAGGTTTCGAACAGTGATATAATACAATCAATAAAAATTATTAGTTAATTGAATGGCATTTATCATGATTCCTCTGCATCTGGGGAGATGGAATAATGAATACCTATTCCTTCCATTGAAAGACATTAATCACCCACCTTTTATTACTCTAAGACGATCTTAAGCCATTCTGGTGATCTTCTGTATGCCAATGTTTGTTATAACGACATTAAGATAATTGGGATTAATTTCGTTAAATAAAAGTGAAAATAAGCATGTTATGGAAAGCTTCACAACCACTCCTGTGTCGATTACGACATCGTTCCTCAGTGATTCTTTCGTTATGATCTATTGAATTCATCAACACTGCTAAGGAAATGGTAAATAAAAACAGAAAGATATTCGATAATTGGAAAAAGAAGGTGATCCTGATCCAGTCTTCGAAACTATTTAAAGATAATCGCAATAGACAACGGTTATTTTGGTCCGTTGCTTAGGTTCACTTACATATTAATGACTTTGTGTTCCATAGAGAGACATAACGCGTGTTTTGAATGCAACCACTCTAAGCATAACCTACAGACAAATGAGGTTTCTAAAAAATGGCTAATGAACGTATTCAAAACATTTTAAATTAAAAAAACCTTGGTATGATCCCTCTCCGCCTGTTTATGAATCGTGCTTTTAGCACATTCGAAGGCAGATCTGCACTCGCGTCAACAACGGCTCTGAAATAAGCATTTCACCAGCAGTCTGAAGTAATGGAAACCTCGTCAACGCTGGGAATCGCTAAGTGTATGCCGCTATGAGGCGAGTTAGAACAGAAGGCACTTCAATATTAAACAGGGAAGAGAATTGGCGGTGGAGGTCAGAGCGATGATGCGTAATCAAGTCAATAAGGAATTGAAACTACTCGGCATTTCACAAATATAAGGCAAAGGGGGAGAGAAACAATCATATTAGCTGGAAATCTAAAGCTGGTTGATAACCTAATGCAATGGAGTGACAAGAAATGAGTTGAATCAGTGGCGAACAGAATTTGTTATCAACAAAATGGGAAATGCATAGAGGTAGTTGGGCAAATGTCGTTGAAAAAACTCGTCTGTTCAAATCCTACTGTTACTGGCACCCAGTCACTCACTTTATTGGATGGGAAGTAAAACCTGTTTTAATCTTATAATTGACGTTGAATAATATTCTAATCAGTTTTCCCTCATGGACACTTAATTAACCGTCCAATGAACTTCATTGTTGTTTTCAATTTAAACTAATTGAGCTAATTTTGAGGTGTTTAAGATGAAACAAAGGAAAAAACGTGCCAAATTTATAATTCCAAATAGTTATCTCGCAGATACAAACCAATAAAGGCAAGTTTCGCCTAAATTTTCTCACTGAAATTGCAATTTTAATCGCTGCTTATCCCAGTCTGATTGACTTGCGGTAAAATCCATTAAAACAAACTACAAAATTGAATGTTTACGCCTATATAGGGGGGGAGAGAGCGAGAGATACAACGCGCGCGCGCGATTGCTGAGAGCTTTAACTGGGTATAAAATCGGTTTATCCCACGAGCAATCGATTTGGTCGAGCCAGGAGGATGTGCACACGACACAGAAGAATTTGTTTCGGCATTCGAAATAACGGCTGCGAAGGCCCTTACAGACGCCGAATGTTCTTTCAGGACATGTCGGAGTTTTGTGGGTTTCGAAAATCAAGACCAACAGTAAGGACTAAATGCGTTCATCCGTTCAGAATGCGCAAGTGCTTCAAGGGGTGTTCTGAGCCAGAAGTTGCGTTGGTAGAACCTAGATGCATCTCAGCGGTCCAACCTCGAACGGAAGAGTACGTTCTAGGCATTTTTATTTAAAATTATTCTCAATTCTTGCAACCGTTGCTTCAATTTTTAAACTGTACACCATTTGTTGGATTTCACTGTATTTCAGGCCGTTATAAAAAGATTCCGAATGCATTGTGTTGTTTAGAAGTAATTTATCAAGAAGGATTCAATGAGATTATTCTATACTTACACACGGAAAGTAATTTTAATCGAAAGTTTCTTTGTATATTTGTCACTTTTAATATTGACGATGTTTGAGAACTCGTGTAGTTACTTTTGAAAATTCACCATGGAATTAAGCTTGTATTTCTTCTCTCTAGAGAAGTTCTTTGAACGAAATCATGCCATTGTAATTAGAATAAAATATAGAGCAACAAACTATAAACATTTCTTGATACAGTGACCAATACGTACTTAAGGAAACTCAGAAGTAAATTGATCAGTGCGCTCAGATTCACACTTACAATCGCGACGTGATTGGACGAAAACTTTGTCTAATTCTTGCATTTAGGGGGGAGGAGGGTGGGGGAGGGATGGGAGGGGGGGGGGGGAGGAATGAGAGAATGATCAGTCATATCCCCTCTACCCAAGTGAAGTGTTGCGAACATTTTCCATAATGGGCTTGTAAAGCTTATAACTGCGTTTTATTTAAATTGGCAAATCAATTTGATTTAATTATTCAAATTAATTTTGGTGTTGAAGTATAAAAAAATTATAATTCTATTTGCTCAACCAAAACCATTCACTTTTGGCAAATTATACCTCCATTAATTTTTTCAAAAACATCGGTAAAATTCTGGCTTTTTATGGTAATTAAATGGAAATGTGCTAGATTAAACCGGAAGATTAGAACACGTAATGAACGGAGCACCCAAGTGCTTTTTTATTGACTTTTCGCGTTTTAAATGGGTCGATTATTCTGAATATTTTAACAATACTAGAACCTAATAATCTCTAATGAAATCGATTGATTATAACGTCCTCCAACAGCAATTAAGGTCGCTTTTATTCTATCAAGACTACGTATTCCAAATTATTATCAAACTAAGACAGAATACATGATGAAAATTCCAGTATTGAATTCAATGTTTCTGCAAAGCCTCAGCCGTGATAAGAGCTCCTTTGTTCCAAAAATTTAGTCCAGAAGATTTTTCAAAGCTAATCTTCGAATCCCATGGATACAACCTCTTGAAGACGATGCTTTTCAATGCCTAATTTATGCACTCTTTTACACCTGCTTAATCCCATTATTTTACAAATCATCTTACTACAGAAATAAATATAAAACCAATTGAATCAAGTTAAAAAAATTGGGTTATGACACCACCCCTTATCTCTATGTCTTGCAATGGGTATCTGTCATTTTGTACACACTAAAGAAATGTTGATGTTTAAATGGACAATGTAGCTGAATAATTATATGTGATATGGTCTTAACTTCATGTCAATTTCCAAACTTAGAATGAATTTGGGTAATTTGTGACAATTATGCATTTTATCGAAGATCCATTAGTCATTTTGAAAGTTCCAACTGGAACAAATTTCAAAATAAAAAAGGGCTCTTTTTTCTTCAACAAAGTGGAGTAGTGTTTGAGCATTTCATTTTATTTGCAGCCTCAAAATAAATAAAGTTTGAAACAGTAAATCACGCCTTGATATCTAATCCTATTTGGAATATATGCAATCGGGGGTAAGTTTGCAAGACCGTGACCAATGCTTTAGGCATAAATTGAGAAAGATGTTGGTGCATCAAAGGAACTTTCTCTCCGAACAACTTGACGATTGGAGCCTGACTGTAGGTTCATTGACGTAACTGAATGAATTATAAGGAGACATTTTTTGGAACTATTATTATGAAACATAATTGAAAAAGTTAACCTACTCTAATTTTTTGTGGTTTTATTAACCCGTAAAATATTTCAATTGATTTAAATCCAATTATCGATTTATTACTCTCCTCATGATTGGTGATGAAAGTGAAAAATCTCCAGAAAGATAAGGAAAATAATTATGCATCTAAATGCGTTCTTCGTCTGCATTTCCCAATTTAGGCTAAGACTATTAAGAACACATCTTGAATAAATCGCATTATCGCAATGAAAATATCTACGACAACGTGAACTATTGACAACTTATTAATGGAAAATTAATGGCAGTCTGGTAACAGTAAATCTGAGTAAGAAATAAATGGGAGGCAATAAAAATACGAAGGAAAAAGTTAATGTATAATGGCACATTCCAGGCAATTTGATTGCTTTTTAAATTTAATTGCTAATTCATACTTGAAAATTCGGCCATTAGACCGTCTGTATTTTTATTTCTTAGTCGCTTGGTGTGTCCGCTCGGTCTCACCAATTCAGTTCGTTTATTTCATTCTAGGACACTAAAGCAGCGTGACCTTGAGTGACCTCGAAAAAGTAGAGCGTACTGAAGTCTCTTCTGGCCTATTGTAGTAAATATTTATTTAAAGAATTAATAATTGAATAGACACGAAGCATTTGTTAGATGCATAATGAAGAGCTAATTCGAGATTTTTTCTGGGAGAATAATGACGAATTTTTCCAAGTTCTTATATTGGCTATTTTTGAATATGCAGAAGGCGCACTAGAAATTGCTAGATTTTAAGTAGAACATTGGATAAAACATTATTATATAAATCCGAATAGCTAAGAATGAAAAACGAACGAAGATTTGAGTACTATTTGTACTGTAAAACTTCAGATACTTTAAAACAATTTTTGTTCTTTTCCATCCACAGAGTCCTAACCCATCCTCAAGAAGATAGAATTTATGGAATTGAGCTAATTTCTCCAGAACCTTTCGTCGTAAAATATCCAAACGATTCGCCAATTCAAGCCGTCATTCCAAGATCGGTATCTCCAGTCCACGCCGGCAATATGAGATCGTCCTCGGGTTATCGAGGTCGTCAAATGGATGCTCACAGATCCCCTTTATCTCATGATTACCATCGCAGTAAAACACCCATTAGAAGATCACCTTCCCCACAAAGCAGAGGAGTTCATCGTTCCCATTCAGCAGACAAGAGGTCAAGAAGTATTAGGCGTGGACCAAGAACTAGGTCATTCACAAAATATATCGATGACGACGAAACTGTAGTTGGCAATGGAGGGAGGTAATTGGATTTATAGTACTAATATATTAAAACTATTTCTACTCTATTATGTCCATAGCACTGTGAAAACCTTTTAACCTAAGAAACAATGAGGGATCAGTTAGAAGTACATATTTAAGTTGGTCCATCAAGACTATAGACCTAAAATCACTTTTTACATGCATTCCCATATGAAGCAATGTAATCTCATTGTCTCGATGTTCATATTTCATGCCACCCCAATTTATCCGATTGTAAATTCAGCAAAGCGAGTAGTTGAGAATATCAGCGATAGTTATCTTAAATGTGATGGATCAAAGTAGTTCGTTTACCCCTCAATAGTTGATAACTAGTTGTGTAAATCTATATGAGCATATCATAGTACATATCTGCTTCTGGGATAAGCCAGTGCTAAAATACAAATCCTGGTTCAAGGGCGTTCATGGCATATGATCTCAGACCATAAAATTAATTTTGGTAAAAATTTTGCTAATTGTTGGGGGTTATGCTTCACATAAGTTTAATAAACAATCACCAAAAAGCGGATGGGATCTCTAGGACATATGAGATTTTTCCATTTGAGGCATGCGACGCAATTATGAAGAGTACAATTGAATAAACAGTAGCATCTGCCTAAATCGTAATCCCAAAGTATTAATCAAAGATATCTGTGGCTCAATGACCAGTCTATTTTTTGTTCAAAACTTAATCCGTCTTAATGACATTTTTAGATTTATCTACGTAAATCCCGAATACGTTCAGCGTTATCATAGATTTCACGGTAACCATGACAGTTTCTCCTCATCTGAAACGGCTGAAAAAAATCATTACCGCGGCAATAACGTTTTTGAGTACAATGATATATGAATGAAGAATTATTCTCGTTGACTCTAAGATCCTTAGTAGTTCAACCATTTCAAACACTAGCTGTAATCATTTTAATGACTTTACCATAATCAGTGTAAATTTCGCTTTCCAATTCTCTTTCTTTCAGTTTACTGATTATGGTAAAGAATTTTACAGTCACAATTTTTAAATATTTCTCCTCGAATTTCACATCAATTTTTTATCCAATATATATATAATTAATCCATTATTTGTTTATTGTGACAATTTGTCGAAAGATATGGTCTGGGGGGACACGTTATCGCCTACGCGTCATTAGGTGATAAAATTGTAAATAAACTTCTTTCTTTTTAATATCAATTAGTGCGCTTGAACGGTATCAAATTATCCGATTGGTAAAAAGAATATGAAAATTTTTTGGAGTACTTAAAATAACATTATAGAAGTTAAAAATTTTATCCAATTTTAGAAGGGCTAATTCATCATGAGGAAAAAGTAATCACCACGACCGGGGCCAGTCAGATTCACCTAAATCATTTATAATAAATAGGGTCAAATAACTCGAGGTATCAGTGTCGAAGGGTTTGTACTCCTACGAAGCAGCTGCTTGATTTGAAGGTGGATGAGGGAGAGAGTCAGCAAGTGGTAGAAAATTAGCACGAAAAAGTTTCATTTCACAATTTATTCTGCTTTTGCTTTTATCGCAGAAAGACATTTCACTCATCACATTTAAATAAAATCAATAACATTCGGATTTGTAGGTACTAGGAGGTGATATGATTTATTGATGTAAGGCCACTATGTCAATGAAGAAAGGGGGAGTATGTATTAAGGAAATCTTTTTAATTAAATTATTAGAAAGAGAGATTGAAGTAGAGCGGCTACCAAAGCAAAAGGTAGTGTGTAATGGAACAAATATGGCATAAATAGTGGCCGACGATGAGGTTCTCGTTGGTAGATATGACATGAGGTTTAGCCCGTGAGGAGCTGGAGATTAGATCTACATCAAGATGACATCCATGCATAAATAAATCAAAATTTGATGAGGGTAGCTGGAATGGTTAAAATATGATGAATTCAGCCTTCCGCATAGTCCAAAATGCGTGCCTGTGTCTCCTCATACGTGGCTGTACATTTTGAATACGATCTTGTTGAGTAATGATGACCCAGGTAATTGGGAAACTGAAATTGATACTAAAAATACATCAACTCAAATGCAAGTCAAAATTTTATTTCCTTTAAGTACTCCATCTGAATGCCCTTTCGAGATAAGAATTAGTCCCAATTGCATTGCAAGTATTTTTGAGTTTTAGTAGCTTAATACTTTAAATTGATTTAATTTTGAAATGGTATGCTACTGGTTCTAATCTAATTTACTTACTGATGGCTACGACTTCATCTCACCCCCCCCACACCCCACACCCCTACCCCCTCCCCCCCAATGCTGTCGAGAAAGAGACAGCAAATGGAGATTTATAGTTCACACATTTTTCCCTTTAACTTATTTTGCCATCAATTTTGAGAACATTTTTAAGTAGAACCAACTTTTCCTATCTTGAATAAAATGAACAATTTCTTTTCAAATCCATCATTGATGCAACATATTTTCACTTATACTAGAAACAAATAGATATTATAATCAATAACTTCACTATTTAAATTATTGAACAAATACAATGAAAAAGTATCCAGAAAATTGTCATTACTAAGATCCCAGACAAATGAAAACGAATACTTATGTAACCTACATGAGGAAATGAAGAAGACCCACCTGATTCGATGTCCAGCTCTAAAGACAACGGCGGAAAGCCAGAGATACTGGGAAGCAAGAAGACGGCTAATGGACTGCAATTAATTAACTGCTATAAATGTACCCCCCCCCAACCTTGGGGGAAGCTGAAGTCAAAGCTTAAGGGCTTGGGGGAAGCTGAAGTCAAGGATTAAGGGCTAATGATCCCTTGATTAAGGGCTAATATGATAGATATCATAAAGCCTGCCATTTGAAATAAATGATGAGGCAGACCCCTGGGGGAAGCTGAAGTCAAAGCTTAAGGGCTAATGATAAATATCACAAAGCCTGCCATTTGAAATAATAATAATAATGTTATTATTAAGAAATATACGATTTTCACATATTTAGAATGTTTCATTAGCAGTTTCTATCTGAAATTAAATATGTAATAAATATACAAAATCGATCTCACTAACAGCGGTAGTCCCACATGGGTAAACAAAGATATATAATTGACCCATACCAAAACTTTCTCGGTGGTTGACTAAATTTGTCACATTTTAAAAAATAAAAAAGTATCTATATTACTATAATATATTCCCAGTCATTTTATAAGAATTAACAGAAAATCCTACCTGTCATATTTTAATAAAATGTTCCATGGAACATAATTTGACGGTAACTATAAAAAGATTTGAAGACCAAACCATAACAACTCCCAGACTAAGCTAGAAGCAAATGATTAATTTCCTTATCACAAACTGTACTTTTGATTTTTAATGTAGTACACGCATATCTTGCAGGCAGATTTGGTACTTTACGCAATATAAATATTAGTTTTTCTTTAAAAAATTATTTGAAGTGGTATTTATTGAAAAATCTACAAAAGAAGATCGAGCCTTTCTCATTTACACCTTCGACTACATAAATGTTTTTTGCTTTGGGTAAAAAAGCTCATTCGTTAAATTTGTTTCCAATTGATCCAAATTAAACAGCTAATTTCCTGAGTTCATAGCTACTTGCTTATTATTAACAAATATCATTTTTAGAAATTTGACCTTAAAGTGTCACCGTGACGCCATTTCACTTTCAGAAAAGTATTTGCTTAGTCAATTCATTTTCGGTTTGGCATTGCTATGGGAGAAGTGGCTAACTAGTTTCCCAGTAGGACATACTGCGCCTTGAGGAAATTGAACATTATTTCAAGAAGAATCCAAGCAAGGTAGATTTAGAGCACCCAGATGAGTATTAAGTACTTAAGCCTTCATCTGCTACTTCTTTAGTACCACAGTTATTTGGCTGTTACAGTAAGAAGGTATAAATGAACTTCGGTTATATGACCAATAGTTTAATTAAAACAAGCATTCAAATGCCCTCTAAGTCGGGCTTACTTTAGTAAGTGTTCATGAAAAGTGTTCCTGCTTTATAAAGCACTATCTAACAATAGAAAATAAAATGACGCTTAAAGACGGATGTTGAGAATACAGCAATCACTTGATTCAATTGGTATTAGTTAGAATACATTTAGATTACAGTAAATTCAAAACTAGCTTTTACATTGGTCTGAAGATTTTAAAATGTGAGTTTCAAAAGTATTAGACTGAATTCTTCAAGTTTATATTTTCTTCAGAAATAATAAGGTTTCATCGGTCATGAATTGTATGTACATTCCTAAGAATGCGCATGTTTATTTATAACTCTGCGTTATCCGAATCGTCAAACGATAATTTTATTTGTTGCTCAACCGAAAAAAGGTGAATACAGTCCAGCGTAGTCAAATAGCCTTATATGGCCTCACTCTCTCTCTAGCACATCCTCTGAGCACAACATTGGTGTTAGTTCTCTTCCAATTCACAACTTGACTTCAATCTCCTCATCTTTTCCGCTGTACGCACCTTCCAGTCTAAACCCCAGTCATCAATCTTGCCAAACGATTGTTGGTAGAAAGATGGTGCATTCTACCGTGCTGTATTTTTTTATTTCAAAAACACCGAAACTATGTAATGATTTTAATTTAAACAAGCGCACAAATATTAATATGCATTGCGTACTTGTAATCTTCATTTTCCTAAAATTTTTCTTCCAATTAAAGTTAGCCTTTATCCACTATCAAAGTGAAACGCTTTAGGGATCTTACCGGAAGTGCCAACGATTCATGGACAGCGTGTCCAACTACAACGATAATAAATCACAAATACGATTCCCAACTGAGCGCACAAAGTAAGTGGAATAATGAACAGAACTATTTAAATCTGGCTTAAATAGAAAGCGGTGGAATCCAGGTTCTTTATCTGCGAGGCTCCATGGCGTCACTCACTAACCAAAATCATTTCCCAAATATTCTTGAGAAATAAGTGAACCATTGAACTCGTTATTCCAATTACCGTCATTTTTTAAAATGGGTAATGTTCTTAAAGATATTCCATTCAAAATAGTTTCATATATTTTCTTGAATCTATTCAAGTCGGCCTTAGTAAGAAGGCTATGAGTTTGGGTTATTACATAGAAGGCAACTGTGAAATAGAAGAAAAATAATTGGGAGGGAATAGACAAACATGCACAATCTTGCCAAATGGAACACACTAAAGTTGTGCTCCCCACATCTACGATGACGATATTCTGTCAAATCCTGCAGAAAATAATCTCCTGTCGGTAAATTTGTAGGAAAAAACGCTTTTCATTCAAAATTATAAATATATATATATTTATTAACATTTAACCGCTAATTTTTTTATTATTTCGGTATGTTTATTTAAAAGTAGGTGCAAAATGCAGGGTGACTGACGAGCATTACTTTAGAGGTAATCAAACCCTTAGTGGAATCACAAGTTTTTAGTAATTTATGAAATTCATTTTTGGTTTTAAGAATTTTAATGATATATTTTCAATTACACTAATTTTTTTGAACTTTAATTCTACGCTAATGTAATTTGACAAATAATTTACAGATTGATTGGAAACACATTCAGCATATGCCGCATGTTTTGATTCTAATAACTTTACTCTATAAGGGATGCGCGATAAACTTATCTCCACGTAGTGCACCCTGAACCACGTATCTTCATACAACAGAAATAGGCCATCACTCGGCATTTGATTTGATTTCGATTTATTATGATTAGCTTGAAACAAGGCTATAAGAGAAATTGCCCTCGTCAGGGCGAATCACAAAGTCTTCAGATCCTCCAGTGGAATGCTGGAGGGATGTCACAGGACAAAAAGATCCAAGTCCCGAAAATCCTACAAACCAATGATGCAGACATTTTCACAATTATGGAAGCAAACCTTT